GCATTGTATTCCCACCATTAAAATAGTACTTGACACCTAGAACTTAATGAATGCTTTCAGGAAGGAAGGGAGGGAGGAAGGGAGGAAGGAAGAGTTATATGTGGTAAATATATAAATTTCCATCAGATTTTCAAGTAGCCATCGCACCTCTGAATGCCATAAGTAAACACTGGAATTACATACTCTATAAAAAGCCCAGCAGTCAATCTATGGAATATCACACAATTCCGATTTGGAGCTGGATGAGTGAAGTCAAGTAATCCATGGTATTAGATCAAATGCCAAAATGATAAGAGACAAAGCTTTTGAATGCATCAGCCATACACGATGAGTTTTTCAGCTGACCTCCCTACCGACCCCAAAATTCACTGGACTGCAGTCCAAAACAACAGAGACAGGATTTTAAATTGTATTTAGTAATTTAACAACCTGTAACTAAAAAGCATCCAAAGAAGATGCATATTCTCAAAACTGTGACACTTTGATCTATTTGTGTGTGTGTATGTGTGTGCATGTGTGTGAGCGCACGCGCGCGCGTGTGTGGCAGGGGTGGGGTTAGCGGATACAGAAGGACAGGCAGAGAAGAAAGAGACACCCCAACAGCAAGAATGTGTACAAGTTATTTCCAAACCTCCAGTTTTTCTTTTGGCCCACTACCTCCTCTGTATCTTTTTCTCTGTTGAGCCTTCCACATCATAAACGCTGTAGGTGGCTCTGGGCAGCACCTAGACTAGAGTATATCATCTGTGCTCGGAAACATGTTTTTTAATTAACTTTCGAAGAAACATGTTACATCAACTGGATTTTCAAAGGTCATATTTTCCATATTTACTTAGGAAGGACAGCTGTTGCCCAGTGACAAAGCTGCAGGCCTTCCCTGCCTGCGCTGCAGCTCACAATGAATTAACTGCTGCCTCCCCACAAGCCGGCCTCCTTTGCGAGACCCAACAGGAAGCCACCTACAGATTTTTATTTCACCTCAGACTTTGGGCCTGAAATCCCTCTCCAGGTTGGAAAAATCAGAAAGTCAAGCCATCAGACAGTCTTTCATCCACACAGATCCCCCAGGACACACTGCGAGTAAGCCCGAAGGTGAGCGGAGTTTCACGCACAGACCTCTGGGCTCTGCTCGTGGGACGCAGAGAGGAGGCGTAACTGAAGCAAGCTCCAGTAACGTGAAACCTGACGTGGTGGTTACACACATGCACACGCACACGCACACATGCATGCGCACACGCACGCACACACATGCACACACACCACCACACTCTCTTTATGACTGTGTTGAGAAAATTCAACCTGACATGCAGAATATCATATTACAAATGGAAAAAGTGATGCCGAAAGTAAAACGAACCTTTTGATTCATCTTTGATGGATGTTTTTCTAAAAGTGCATATTCTGATCAGTATGTGTTAACTACAGACAAAAATGAACTTGTATGCTATAGAGCTGATGGGGAAATAGCAATGGCTGGGTTCGTGCAATCCATCAGGGTTTTTTAAGAATAACTTCTATTAGAATGCTTAAAAACATGTCTTCTCGTCTACACAGGAAAGGGAAGAGCCGGTTTACTCATTCTAATCACCAGTGTCTTCACAGCCATAAAATTAGTGCACGGGGGTTTTCTATGGGGGCCATGGCAAGTTTAGATCTTTCTCACAGGACAGGGGTGAGAAAAGATGCTCTTTACAAGCCTGGCTGTCTGGGCCCAAACCTGAGCTGTGCACTCCCTGGTGTAACCCGGAGCCCGTGGAGAACAGACCCGAGAAGAAAGCCCATCTGCATACACGCAGGAGGCACAGTCATCTAATGAGTCCAGAATAACTGTGTCCCACGGTTTCCTGCCGCTAATCAAGTAATAGTGAGCATCTCACTCAGAGTCACGGGCCCTCGGTGTGAACATTCCTCTCGCAACCCCTCGGCACTCCTGGCCAGGGCCCTGTAGGTCGGTTCACTGGACTCCTGTCCCAGGAGAGAAGTGAGGCCCTACAAGTGCATGGCGTCCCCAAGGTCACACAGCGAGGAGGGGGCACAGCAGAGAGCCGACCCCGTTGGATCTCACTCCAACCCCACCCTACGAATTCTGAACCTCTGCATTTTATTGCCTTCCTATTTCTACTGAACTGACTTCCTTAAAAAAATAAACTCCCCACTAAAGTGCAAAACCTTCTTGGAGGAAGAGCCTAATTCTACCCAAAGGCTCATCTTCATTACAATTAAAGCGCAGAAGCAGCTCCCAGGCGCCTCTGAAGAACGCCAGAGAGAGAGCTCTGCTCTGCTTGCCTGAGGGGCCCCCCTTCTAACCCAGAGCCGAGGCAGTTTCATAATAAGGATTCTGAGCCCCAGTCCCCTGCCACCAGGGACACCCTAACCCTACCTCCTCAGCTAAAAAGCAGAGTGGGAACACAAAGGGGGAGGTTATGGGGCAGCCACGCTAGAGTTCTGGCCCCTGGCAGTACAGAACAAGGAAATCTCATCTTAAGCTCCTCCCACCCATCCCAGCCTCCCCAACGTCCATGCCAGCACAACGGACCATGGGGGCTCAGTGGTTTCCTGGCCTTAGGATCACCCTACACACCTCCTAGCCAAGAATGGCAGAGGCTGTATCCTCTCTCCCTCCTGCTTTGAATGACACGCCGCACTCACACACACACCTTGACTTCTAGCAGGGAGCAAGGCTGCCTGAAATTAGCGCACACTCCTTTGCAGCAGGGTGTGGGTATACCATTCAGTTCTAACTAAAGGCACAGAGGCAGAAGCCCCCGTGGCAACTTCCACAGCAACCATGCCTTTCTCTCCCGTTTCCTTCCTGCGGACTAAATAGGGATGTGCTGACCGCATAGCCTAGCATCCTTCTTGGACCACGGGATCTCTGTCCCTCCCAGGACGGTGGAGCAGAAAACTGAAAGGAACCTAGGGCCCTGGGCTCTGGACGCCTGACTTCGGGGTGAGAATAGTCACACTTGTTTCCTATACATTAGATTCACTTTAAGAGGAAATATGTGGTACCAACAACACCCAGGTAAGGAAGTGCTTTATGGTGCGCAAATTAGTCCCAGGCAACTCTGAGCATAGCTGAGAGTAACGTCCACCCTTCCGGAATGTCCCCACACTGAGCATCTCAATTTCAGGAGCTGCCCGAGCATCTTATGTATTGCAACCACTTTGAGCCACTCACTCAGCAACATTTTAGGGTGGATCCTGTTATTGGACCCATTTTAGAGATGAAGAACTGGGGGTGCAGAGAAACTAAATAACATGGCAGGGATTCAAACTCACAGCGACCTGCCGGTACCCTGTGCGTATGCCCACTACCCTACGATGCCCACTACCCTACGATGCCCACTACCCTACGATGCCCCTCAAGGAGAAGAGAAAACAGAAGGCAGTGAAAAAAAAGGCACTCCTACTGGGTCGCAGCCATATTTCTTTGGAAACCTTAAACCTGCTTCACTCTCCACACCAGGAAATTCCTACCATCTACTCCTGCGGCAGGTGTGTCCTCACCGGGACATTCTGATCTTCCCAACCTTGAATAACTGCAGAGCAGGTGGGACAGGATAGTAGCAGTAAAAGTTCCAGTCCCCGTGACCTCAGCCGGAGACAAAGACAGAAACCGACTCATGGAAGTGAAGATCTTCTATGCATTCCGGCACCACCTTAGGTGTTTGGCTTGAGGGGCCAAAGTTCTAGAAAACACCCCAGCTGTTTGCACCAGTACCTCAGTTGTTGGGACTTGGGAAGTGCTCCCGTGCAGTCCACGAAACTAGGGGTCACAGCCTTGTAAGAGAGGCTGGGAGGGGGAGGGGGATCTACAAGGGTCCAGAGCTGAGCCAGCCCTGCCCCAGATCTCGGGTGAAGGGACACAGGAGTCTCAGAAGACAGCAGGGCCATGCTGCCAGCATTCTGAGCAACTGACAATGCCACCGACACGCACAGGGATCACTTTACTTTTCCCTGGAGGGTGGAGGTGATACAACCAAACTGTCAATCAGGACCAGTCACATCTCCTGCTCTTTAACACTTAAATACTTTCCTCTCACCAAATTCAACCACACCTAGCCCAGCTGGAAGTTACAAACTCCAATGCTGACGGAGGCCAGAGATGGGTGAAGCATGCCTGGAGGGCATCAGCGTGATGAATGCTCAGACAGCCACTCTCGGTCCAAATGACTGTTCTAACCGGAGAGAGGGACCAAGTCTCAGCACACTTGAAGGTGGAAATTCAGAGATGTATGTGAAATCTCCCAGCTCTAAAATGCTGACATCAAATTCAAAAAATGGTCGACAACCTAAGGTCTCGACATGTCTACATGACGTGGCCCCGGGAGCGAATCTGCAACAGCGACCACTGAGGCCACATGCACATGATTAACAGACCGGCCAAGGTGAGCCTCCCTGGCTTGGGTCAAGGATGTCAAACCGGATGTAAGGACCCAGGTAAGCAGCCACTTAGAGCCCTCCCACGTCTCACCAGAAAAGAGAAGGGGAGGCTTAGACCAAGATCTGAGAGGCACCCTACCTGGGCCACCTCCTTCGGGAGGCCCGGGAGGCCACGCCCGCCATCGCCATCACCTCTACAGGACGGCACGTCCGCAGGGTGGCAGCCCGCGGAGGCCTGCGTGAGGCAGGGGACGAGGCAGAACTCACTCTGTGAGAAGAGGAAGCACAGTGAGCAGGAGTGAGGGGGAGGGGCCTCCAGAAGCAGGCTGGCCGGGCAGGGTAGAGTCAATAGACCCGGTTAGACGCTCCTGGGAAGGGAGAAGGGGGTGCACTGCGCGGCAGGTGACGCCTCCTTCTCCGCGCCCTTTCCTGGAAGGGGCATCACCGCCTGTAGGCACACGCCCCTTCAAAGGACCCTCTGTGGTGAGGAATCCCAGGTCCCTGCGACAGCGATTCCTTCACTCTCTGCCTAACTCAGTCACTTCTACAAAGTCCTTTTCACCGTATCTTCCAAAAAAGGGGTGGGGGGGGGCATCCCAGGGCACACAGCCTACCTTGGCACTGGAACCCTTGCTTCCCGAAGCCCCTGCAAAGGCAGAAGGAGGCAAGTCAGGCAGCTGGAGGGGAGCCACCACCAGCTAGTTC